GTTGCGAGATTGAAGTTCGAATACCTCACCGTAAATGTCCAAGTAGGAGGATATAATGTATGCATACGGTATTACTGGTATTTTAAAGGGTTATCCGACGCTATATTCTGGTTGTACAGCAGCAAAGCAGGAGTGTTTTCATCTGATGTTACAATCATTGGTGATGCTGATCGAAAGCCAAGCTCCATATTAATCCGATTAAGTTAAAAAGGCAAGTATCCGCTGATACCACACTTTTAACGGCTTATGTAGCTCATCGACTTTCGTGGCAGAGTTAGGTGGATTAACCAATTCAGTTCAGGTCACTTAAACAGCTATAAACAATGTACGTAGTATGTAAGCCGCAATAGCTGCTGTTTTCGTCACCAGAAAAGGGGAAATCTGGGGAACCACGGCCAAGCACTGAAGGCGATGACATAAAGAGTTCGTTCGTACTGACCATCAAGAATCAGTGACGTCCAGAATGTTGGATATGCCTCTAGAAATGCACTGGAATATTGGCAGTTTGAGTGCGCTCACTAGCAGTTTATCAGATAGCTGTTGATTTGCCTGCAGAGCATGACACTTAGCTTGCGTGCATCCACACATCAATCCAGGGGGCATCATCAGTGCGCGCTCCCCTCTGATGGTAACGAGCCGTTTGCAACCTTGGCGAACGGATCAGCAGTCACAGTTCATTTTCCTCTATTTGTCTTCAGTCGACCCTAAAATCCCAGTTCAGCTAGTCAGATATTTCAGACACTGGGTTGCTAGACTGTCAAAAGTGGGCTTAAATTTGACAATCGTAGTCATTCTGTACCCTCCTTAGGTGCTTATACTGGGAAGTTTACTCAAATGACGCCCAAGTTGAAATGAGGCTCGAATAGGTCTCACAAAATATTGGATTCTGAGACAGTCCTTGAACCACCCATTCGGTTGAACAGTATAAAAACTAATGTCAGGAAAAGTTTACTGTGACGCATCACGTACAATTCGACAAACTCTGACCATGTCAGCATTCAGCAACACCGACTACTTTCAGTAGCTTTGGTGCATGAGTGTGTGTGTGTGTGTATATGTGTGCGTTCCAGTTGACTGGGTCAATTTAAATCGATTCACACTGCCATCCGAGCGTATGCGATTGAGTGTCTTGTTTTCACCTCATCTGACCATCGTCTATAGAAGACTACCTACTTAATGACAGGCACGCGTCTAACAGCAACCTCTTTCTCGAAACCGCAGTTGCTGTTACAGAGAGCAACAGAGACTGATGGATAAGCAGAGCAAAGCAACGACTGTACGAGAGGTGAAAGGTTGGCTACACAAAGTCTGCATAATTCCTGGAAGATTGGATGGTAAATTGGTGATAATAACTGGGGCTAATACGGGTATTGGAGAAACAACCACCGGGGAGATTGCACGACGAGGTGCCACAGTAATCATGGCCTGTCGAGACTTTAAGAGAGCACAGGGAGCTAGAGAACGGCTGCTTAATCAGTATGGTGTAAACAACCCAGACAGTCTGAAGAAAAATGTTGCTGATCCACGTGTTGCAACGTCAGTGAGTTGTATATCTGAGGACCAAGTAAGTATGATCGTAGGCATTAAACTAAGATACTCTTTACAATATAACCATCTATCATACATTTTGTCACACTCCATCGCTTTATTCCATCATTGCTGATCCTTGCAACGTCAGTGAGTTGTATATCTGAGGACCAAGTAAGTATGATCGTAGGCATTAAACTAAGATACTCTTTACAATATAATATAATATCATACATTTTGTCACACTCCATCGCTTTATTCCATCATGTCAATCATCTCTTCTGTGTTATATATATATATATATATATATATAACACAGAAGAGATGATTGACATGATGGAATAAAGCGATGGAGTGTGACAAAATGTATGATAGATGGTTATATTGTAAAGAGTATCTTAGTTTAATGCCTACGATCATACTTACTTGGTCCTCAGATATACAACTCACTGACGTTGCAACACGTGGATCAGCAACATTTTTCTTCAGACTGTCTGGGTTGTTTACACCATACTGATTAAGCAGCCGTTCTCTAGCTCCCTGTGCTCTCTTAAAGTCTCGACAGGCCATGATTACTGTGGCACCTCGTCGTGCAATCTCCCCGGTGGTTGTTTCTCCAATACCCGTATTAGCCCCAGTTATTATCACCAATTTACCATCCAATCTTCCAGGAATTATGCAGACTTTGTGTAGCCAACCTTTCACCTCTCGTACAGTCGTTGCTTTGCTCTGCTTATCCATCAGTCTCTGTTGCTCTCTGTAACAGCAACTGCGGTTTCGAGAAAGAGGTTGCTGTTAGACGCGTGCCTGTCATTAAGTAGGTAGTCTTCTATAGACGATGGTCAGATGAGGTGAAAACAAGACACTCAATCGCATACGCTCGGATGGCAGTGTGAATCGATTTAAATTGACCCAGTCAACTGGAACGCACACATATACACACACACACACACTCATGCACCAAAGCTACTGAAAGTAGTCGGTGTTGCTGAATGCTGACATGGTCAGAGTTTGTCGAATTGTACGTGATGCGTCACAGTAAACTTTTCCTGACATTAGTTTTTATACTGTTCAACCGAATGGGTGGTTCAAGGACTGTCTCAGAATCCAATATTTTGTGAGACCTATTCGAGCCTCATTTCAACTTGGGCGTCATTTGAGTAAACTTCCCAGTATAAGCACCTAAGGAGGGTACAGAATGACTACGAT